TCTCAACCAGGTTCTTCCATCCATGGACAGTCCTCCTTTTCCAAGGAAGAAACTGGTCCCATCCTTACCCTGGGACCTCTTAGCACACTCAGTCGGGCTCACCCTTCCACAGCCAGTCTTCCCTGCACCAGAAGATACATATTCCACGTTTCTTCAGAAACCTACTGGCACGGCTTACCCTCTGGAATCCAGCCAACTAGAAACACAACAAATCTACTACACTATAAAGTCTACAGAAAATTCAAACGAATCCAGGAATTCAGTACACACTAGAAAGACTATTCAATTCTCTCTGGATCCATCTGTCTTTAGTACATCTCATGCCTAATAAATTCCTCACAAGTCTCCAGTACCTCTTTCTGACTTCACAAAACTGAACTGGACATAGGACTGCTGCCTAGCTGTTGATTTTAAAGCACAGGAGTTAAACACTCCTGTACTATCTCACCCCCTACAATTCAGACGTCCAGTAACACATACCCTCCCTAAACTGCAGGAGCTTAGACACAGCAGAGACCTGACTGCTGTTACAGCAACTGAGGAATGTCCCAATTAATCACAGGGCCAATCAGAAGATCCCTTTTCTGCTAATCATTCAATCAGGGCAGGTGTGTCCAATTTCCTACAGAGAAGGAAAAGGCTTCAACAATGCTTCAGCCTGCTCCATCACAATTGAACATAGGGAAACAATTCCAGAAAATAAGTGCAAATGCTCACATGGTTATACATAGCCTGATGCATCTTTTATGACATGGCATTATTAAATACAAATGCAATTGTAAGAACTACGTCCATGTACAGTATAGACTGTGTAGTCTACAAGGCTTGCAATATTTCATTCCAGACTTTGCAAAAGCACTCTAAGCCCCCCGCTCCAAAAAAAAGACACTGGGGAAATGTAAGTGCTTCAAGAAGAGGCAGAGCTCGAGCAGGGAGATGTAATAAGACTAAACACTTGCACCCCTGAAGGAGTCCATTTACAGGCTTGTACAAAGCTGAGGTCAAAAGGGTGACTATCGATTCTTTACAATTTCAGGAAGCGTTTCAGAACCATCTTCTTTAAGTGAGGAGATAATATAGTAGGACTTTCTGGATGGTGAGAGGTCACGAAGGCGACAATAAGAAAAGTATTATATAGTTAAAGCCCTGTGACGCGAGATTGTTAAAACTGTGGCTGGCAGGAACAGAATTTCTTTTCACCTTAGCACATAACTGGTCTACAAAACTAACTTTAAATGGTCCAACTGATGCTATTGTTAGGCTGTGAATCTCCATAGAGATCTATAATCCCTGCTGGATCTTCATCCTTGTGAACCGGCTCTGTCTCTCTCATCCTACACATTTAATTAAGACAAACACGGACACGTGGGCTGAGCCATGGGCTGCTGGGTCTCAGGGTGGAACTCTGTAAGGTGTGCTTAAAATTTTCAAACGGTTTTCCCCAACCCTGTCTTCTAGGATCCAGCATCTTCTTCCTGACCACTTTCTGCTGGGATTTGTAACAAGACTTCACTAGTGCCTTATTCACCAAACGCATCATTTCAATCACTTAGAACATTTTAAAATTCTAGTTAAATGTTCTTGCGGAAACAATTAAAATGATCTACAGTGGTTAGCCATATTTCTGTGTTTATCTTATTCTGGGTAAATATGACTCAAAATCCTCAAAGGCACTGACAAGGTCAAGCCAATGAGCACTACAGAATCAATAGTGAAACAGGAACCAGAGGATGTAATTGGATTTTTAAGAGAAGAGCATTTAACAACAAGAACAGGAATTTTTCTTTTTATTTTAGACCAAAGGTTTAGACCATGAGCTTAAATCTGATGCCCCGGCTTCTTTTGGCTTCTTTCAAAAAATGGCTGCATGATATCTGCTGATCAATTAGCTACCAGCAACCCGGCAGCTACAGTAAATGACTTCCTCTCGATTGTAACCTCCCTTGTGTTCCCCCTCACTCAAAGTGTAGATTCTATATTACCTATTGTACCGGAAGAGGTACAGATATTTATGGACTAGGAACTAGAAATTTTCCTTGTGTCCAAAGCCAAAAAAACCCCAACACAAACACTTCATAAAGTTGCAATAAAATCTATGAAACAATGAAAAGCACTTTGCTTAGCTGATCCAATAATGGACTGACGGACAACAATCCGTCACACAGTTAAACAACACAGAAAACATACAGTATTGTGCTTCCGAGCGCGTCGAGGCACATGACCTACTGTGAGCAGACAGCTATTAAACCAAGTAGCAAAGACACAGAACGTACTGTACTGTAAGACCTACAGTAATGCAGTATGCCCGATTACAACCGATTTGTTGTTTATAAGATCAGCAACAGCATAAGGTTTACAGCTACGTGGTATTCTCACTGTGCATCGCAACCACGAGGTGCAATAAATGCGATTCGTTAACCTTTCTTGGGTTTCAGAGTTGTGGGTTAGAGATTAGTTAGCTGGGAAGAAGTGCGCCTGAGACGACGGTTGTACAGTAATTCAGTTCTCAACCTTACAGGACATCAACTAGTAATAACTTTCTGGTGCTGTTAGCGGGGCCTAATTCAGTGGAGAAGATCAAAAGTCAAAATATCGGAGGAAAAAAGTTAAAAGGATGATTATTTTTCCTGGTTTTCGAGACTATCGAGGATAATGCAGGTTCGATTAATATTTTCTTTCACGGCGAACGAGTAAATCCTCATTACTTAAACTATTAAACTATAAACTATTCGTTCACGTTGTTCATGTGTAATTTTACCTCGGTCATCGAAGGCAGCTTACAAGCCTGGGAAACTGGGTAAATGAAAGATTTGCTATATACATATATCTATAGCATATTTTCTTTGCACGACATACTAAAACAATTCCACTGCCATGCAACCCGTAATGTAGAGTAGTGGGAAGATTGACTGTAATCACGAATAGTTGAGATTGTTTTTTTTTTTTCACACATTCGGTGCATTATGCAGTACTTTGTTAAATATCCAACGGTCTGTTGTTTTAAAACTTTTTTTTTTCCTGTGGACAGAAGGAAAACCAAAAAATACTATACCGCTCCGACAATGAATACGCTCGAAGCGCTCAAAACGCACTTCTGTTACAACACACTAAACAACGCTTTTCATCCTTTTACGTGCGGAACTTCAGCAAAAACGGAAACTTTCATTTAGATCTATTTTGTCTTGTCCGTTGCTATGGATCAACAGGGCTGCACTGGCCATTTCTACAGCAGTACAGCTATTAGTGTCTTCACGCAGTAAGGGACAAACAGTCACGTTAACCCAGACGAACCTGAGCTTGTTTTTGAGCTACAGTTGTTGGGTAGAAGAGCGCACAGGCCATTAACGTGGGTTCACGGTATTTAGAACTTTTAACCAAATGTACACCCCCGCGATGTGCACGACAGCAACTGGGTTTCTTCTAGTCTTTGAGCTGTCATCGTTTATACTGCATGAAAGCGGAATCTGATTCAGCAAATACAGTATATCAGCCAACTAGGTGATCAGTGGAGATTCCAGAAGTTCCAATACAACGAATGTCTTCGTTGTGAGAAATGAAAAAGGCTATCCATGGTGGGATACTCAGAGGTCTCTGTAACAGACTATAGACAATTTAGAACAATCAGCTGCGTGCAGTTTATGGACCGATTTGTGAATGGTATGTGTGCGTCGTGGGGTGAAAATCGCCCGATTTTACCGAGCGTTTATTGCACACTAAATGGCTATCGTGAAAGCAATGAACTGCTGGCGAGACTATTCACAATCACCAGTTCCACAAACTGCCAGGTGTATTTTTACTGAACTGGCGACCCGCCTAGCCTACCAATCCGTTTCTCCAGCTTTCTCGTGTGCTTTGGAGAACCCTAACGACAGACCACATTAGCTTTCGGAACGACTGCAGCAGGGGACATCGTATGTCACATGAGAAGGCAATATGAAACAGTACGAAAGCCGTCAGAGGAGCTGTCCAGCAGCGGCACCTCCTGAAAGTGAAAGAGCGCGGAGCACTTGACGACATTTCTGCAAAGCGACCAGAGGCAAAATTTCTCGCGTTCAATTGACTGCGAATACTAGCTCACATCAGTCGAAGGCTCTTGCTGCGATTTGGTGTGTGTCAGATGTGGAATAAGACGTTCTGTTAGAAGACACGACACATCAGTGACAGCGCCCCATCACAAGATCAAGATCAAGACCTAACCTCCTGTAGTAATAAGGAGTCCCGGTTTAAACGTTACCATAATTAAATTTCAAACGACGGTAGACTGCCGTGCCTTCTGGTTAACTGCTTCGTCTTTTTGAAGGCGAATATATTCTAAACCTTCACATTAATTCGGAAACATCTGGAACTGAAATGCTGATTTGAGCCACTCATTTATTTGGCAGGCTTTGAGATTCGAGCGGTCCTTTAAGAATGCCTCGGTAAGACGTAATTAGAAAATTCTATAATGAAATTCTAGGCTACATCTTGAACCGTTATTGATTGGATTTGTCTGTTTTTGTTATATCTGGCTTCTAGAAGACCACATCGGTCAGTACTAAACACTTTCGTTTACAACGAATAGGTCTGCAGTCAGAAATGCATGTTACCACATCAATAACTTATGGAGTTGTAAATTATTCTCATGTTATCCAGCCATATTTTCAAAGACTTCTGTTTTTAGTACTGATATACTGTATTTACGGAAAATTGGGAAAAAAAACTCTAGAAAGGAGACTAATGGCTTTCAGTGCGCAGTGAAACTCATAAATAGGTAATGCTCACTGCTTACACAATCAATTTCTTTTGGTCTGTATAGCATGTCTGTCTTTCCTTCCGAGCGACTCATAACCAGAAGACACGACGCTTTTGAGAGCTACACTGCCTCTGTTTCGTTTGGCAGCGCTTGCGGACCTTATTACAGACAATGGTACGAAAATTCCGACACCTACTATATGTTTTCACCTGCTACACAGCAATCGCGTTATTCCCATATGTGTAAATAACAGAATCTCACTACTTACACATAAGCATGGTAGATAAACGCCCATCCCCTTGGTCTTTCCAAAACATTGTAGAGGAAATTCTGCAATCTTCGATAAAAGGCGTTCCTCTTCGGAGGTTTCCCAGTGCCTGTGACGCTGGATCTCGGTTTACTTAAGATGCTGCCTCGCTTGGTAGCGTCTGATCCAGCGATAAGCAGCGCCCCATCTCTGCTGGAGTCGGGTGCCCCAGCATCGAGCCCTACGAATCCTACTTTGAGCTTTTTCTCTCCGGCTGGACCCGGGTAAACACCGCCGTTGCGGGATTTTTGCACCATGCTTGAAGTCTTCCGTCATGGGGAGCGAGTCGGGGATGATTTCAATCGCTCACCGGGTAGGAGCATCGCAGGGCTGGGCATGGAGCATGCGAGAAGCTCTTTTGTGCGCGGTGGAGTGCGGGCTCCCCTGCCGCTTCCCGAAAGCCAATTGAAACACACACAACAATCTGCAATGTGTAGTCTTCTACCTCCCTCGGCTCCTTCCGGCCACCTGACAAAGGAAATATCTAATCACGCTTTCCACGATTGAGGAAACGAGGGAATGAGGTTAGAATCACCAACTGCCTTTTGTCATCATCATCATCATCATCATTATTAATTTAATTTCAATCTAGGTAGTGCAAATAAGACTGGAATATATTTTGCTCGCAGATGAATGAATCAGCGGGAGATCACTGAACGTCGGAAGCGTCTGTACGCAGGATAACCTGAAAGTCTGAACTATAGGCTAAAACTCACACCTTGTTCGAACATATTTATATGCCTATCGATAACAGCAGATATTTGCCTTCTTGTCCCATTAAAAGTCATATTAATCGTCCGACTATCGACTAGTCACGCAAAGTGTTTTTGTTCTCAACAGTTTTAAGACGCCACAGGTTTCAACAGATTCTTTTGAGTGTCATTACAGTACGCAGATATATATCGTTAGTGATTGAATAACTCCGTTTAAAATAAAGACCAATACAGGGTTCAGACCGTATTCATAGTCTGTGTAATCTCGTTATCCTAGCTGCTGAGAATTTAAGATCTTAAAATATTATGTTCTCAGAAGTAAAGCAAACTGATCCAATCCTATCATCACATGAAGAGGTGCTTCAGAGCCCATATAATATTCAAACTCTCCTAAATGCATTGCAAACTCTTACAAATGACTCATTTGCCATTAATTGATATTCAAATTAATGGGTATTCCAAATTGGTATATTTTTTCTAACAATTTGACTCATAGGTTGATACATTTCTTTTTATACCCAGTGCATTAGATCAGGGGTAGATGTACAACTTTGATTTATTTCCAAAGAGGCCTGGGCTCTACTGCTGGCACGCCCCACTGTGTTGCTCCAAGATTTACTGATGGCACCATGATGCTGCTCTCTTGCTAAACATCAGCCCAGCCATAGTCCAGACTTTGTTAAAAAAAACTCCATCAAGGATTATAAGGCATCTCTCAGATTTGCATTTATCCCAAGAGGGATCATTTTTCTTTTACTGAGCTTGGTCCTGACGGAGGAAACACAGGGCAGGACCACACTGTGGACAAGAAGTCAGTCCAATGTAGGCCACACACGTCTATTCTGAACCTCATGCTACCAGACTGTAGTAGGATACTGGATTTTGAAGAGACCCACACGGACATAGAGAGAGCATGCACACACCACACCAGAACCACCCTTAACCCAGAACCTAGGAACTCCAAGCAAGCAACTCTTACTGCTTATTGTTGACTAAAATATAAAATGTAGTAGTTCAGGTGGGTAGCTGTGTCAGCATGCGTAGGCTGCAAAGGAACAAGTAATAGGTTTATTCCATGCTGAAAAAAAGAAGAGAGAAAAAACACAACGTTTCGGCCGTGGAGCCTTCTTCAGGTGTGAGCTTGAAGGTGTGAGGTATGAGGTGTGAGCATTTTAAAATATAAAATGTCAGGGAGGAATGCCTCAAAAAGAAAACATTAAGTGTCAAAAGTCAAATCATAGCCATGCACAATTTAAAATTTTCAACAAAAGATTACAGTTAGACGATATATCATTGTGGTCATTGTGAGCTGAGCAAAACATTTTTATATTTTTAGTGCTTGGTACTATAATGCTTGTGACACCAAAGAGATAAAGTGTTAATACAACAGTAATGAATCCTTTGGCTAACAATCAATCAATACTTTAATAAAAGAAACCTATATTTGTGTCTAACTGTTGCCCCCAGATGTTGGTGAGATTAAAAAAAGTCTAAACACTGCAAGCATCTAAAATACATTTTCTAAAGACACTTTGTAAGCTGTTTCAGCTAAGCTTTAATTGCGTGTCTGCAAGTGAATAAGAGGAATTGTTTAATGAAAGATTCTACAGTATTCAAGGTAGTAGTTCATGCTCTATCTTAAAATCGGGCACCGCTACTTAATGTTAATTCACAAATATGCCATTTTCAGACAAGATGAGGAGAAATTCTTAGGTATTAATAGCATAAATTAAGAAAGTTAGCTCTTTGGTGCAGAAGTTATGTCTTTCCTTTTATGGCTTGTCTCTAGACAATCAGTCAACACATTTGCATAAACACTGTACAATAATGTAGCCTTCTTTGACAGCAGTTGTTGAAGTTGAAAAAAGCCAGAAAAGTGGTATTTAAAAGGTCATGGGAAAGAGCTCTCTTTGCCTGCCTGTGAATTGTCTTCAATAGTCCGTCACCCCTGAGTGATTCAGAATAAAAATATCACTGTAATTGCACATAAATGATCTGCGTGATCTGGCCCTCTTGGATTACACCTCTACAGGCACACAGTAAGGCAATTTAACAAGGAGTGGGAATGTCACATGTCGTTAAATCACTGTGAGCAGAACATCAGCAACAATCTTGTCTGTCCAGGTGGAAGAGTAGTGATCACTTGCAGGGCTGTTTGAATGTGACCGAACTAAGTCCCTTTCTCCCCAAAGAGCTCTCTTCTTCATTTAATTCAAACACATCTAGCAGATTTCTGTTACCAGGCGACCTTGTTGCTTAGCAGACATTTGGGACAACAATACTATGGAAAAGCAATTGATTTGAACTGAGTAGGTGGATGCTAGCTTGGAGAAATAGACAGACACAGGGTGACAAGCAGGACTTATGGCGTCTTTTTCTGCCTGGTAACAGTCAATATAGTCTTCATCAAAGCAGCAGTGGACTACATCAGACTCTTAAGTGGTGTACCCAGGAAAGGCACTTGTTGGGACGACACCTGTGCTTGTTACAGGGCAGTCATATTATTTCTAACTGGAAATGGGTCATCTCACTTTTTGAGGAGAGATTCATGGTGTCATGAATCGCTCCCATGCAGGCAAGCGCTCCCGCATTCCTACGAGCTCTTCCTATACCAAACATGCACGCACCAATCTGTCCTCTATTTAAAACCTTGCCAGACCCCCTTTCCGTGCTCACGATTGAGATTTTCTCCCTGAGCTGCGTTCCTAGATTTCATTCTGCGATTCTACTGTCTGACTCCTGGATATTGACCCCGTTGTTCTTAGACTACGCCTTTGCCTCCCAACTTAGTACCTACGCCCCTACTACACACTCGTGGATATTGGACCCTGCTTCTCCTCCTTGACGACGTCTTCGCCTCCTGATTCTGTATCGACGCTTCTACTACGCCTTCCCGGATCCTGAACCCTGCCTGCTTCCTCGATTGCGCCTTCGTCTCCAGATTCTGTACCTACGCCTCTACAACGCCTTCCCAGATCCAGAACCCTGCCTGCTTCCTCGACTACGCCTTCGTCTCCCAATTCCGTTCCGACCCACATGCCTGCCTGGATGCGCCTGCCTGGATTTTGGACTCAGATACTACTCCGACTATGCCTTCGTCTATTGTTTATCCTTCCAAAGAGCACCGCATAGGATCCCAATCCTCCGCAGTCAGTCCCACCGTGACACATGGGGACAGAGTGAAAACTGATTTATGGTCACCTTAAATCTATAGTCTGAAAAATATGAAGCATACTGGAATTCAGTGGGCTTGCAGTTTGATTTGGCCAGGGTGTCCTCAGCCTACACTTCTGCTTACAGTGTGGAAAACAGTAGTGGACATGAAAAACTGCTGGTTATTTTCATTTTAAAATGAGACAAAAAGTAGTGAAGGCTGTCATAGTTACCGTAGCACAGAGGTGCAGGAGAAAGATAGGGTTGGAGAACCTTACATAATTGACAGTGGCATGCTTTACAGTTTAAAGAAAAACTAGGGAAAAAACAGTAGGTAATGCATGAAGTAATCAATTATTGGCAATCAGGCTTTTCCAACCAATGTCTTAGTCTTAGTATAAACCTGGTGAGAAAGTGCTCATTTACCAACACTGAACAATCTCTGGCAAAGGACCTTATGAAGCCTTTTGCAGAACGGGACCAGTCACTTAGAAGATCAGCATGAGAGATAAATCCAAGGAAAAGGTTTTCCATATTCTCCTGAAGGAATGAGGAAAAAAGACCCCAGACGTTACTGGTCCAACGCACCAATGATGAGGGAGCTGAGAAGCAGTTCTTCCCAGTGGGCATGGGTGGGCAATTGGCATACTTTTCCTGCATAAGTGCAGGTCTACAGCAATACTGTAGGTACAGCATTTGCTACATGGTTTTCAAGGTTGTTTATAAAGAAACCAGGGAAAACGCCATGACAACATGTCTTATAGTTATTAGAATAACCAGAGTACACATAGCAATTTTACTATCTTTACTCAAAGCCTCAGCTGTTTTGGAATAGATTAAAACTATGTTCCACCTACAGATCATTGAAACATCCTCAGACTCCTAAAATTGCCCTGAGGCTTTAGTCCCCACAAAACACTTCACTTTTAATTTTGTGGGGAGATCCATAGGATAAATGAAACTATAAAGTTGGATAGATATTCTATACCATGTGTATAGGAGTTACTAGAAATTGCTGTACAGTACCAAGTACATTTATACCTCGGATCTAAGTAAGGGATACGACAACTACCATTGACTTCAGAGGCAATTGTTAAGGTTAGGTAGCTCCATGTGTATACAATATGTTAGCAATATGTTTGTACATTGCAAGCCGTCAGTGATGTGTTACTTATGGTTGAAGGTGCTGGACTGGCCATCAACAGGGAACAAAGTGCCATAACAAAAGCAGAGGTATCATATTTAACGTGTACCTAACCAATAATGTTCAGTGGCCTCAAGTGAAGATAATGTAAGTCATTCAAGATTGTCTTCCAGGAGGTCATTAGGGTCATACCTGGGTGTAATAGGTTGGTATGAAAGATGTATCTCTCTTTTCTCAGAAATAGCAGGTCCCTTTAGTCAAGCTGGCAAAAACAAAACAGGATTTGGACTCCTGTAGCTGAGAAAACCTTTCAGGAGTACTGTAGATTACACTGCCTTAGACCTTGCTTTGCACAGTCCATACTTGGGAATCACAGCACTCAGTAACTGCAACAGAATATCTAGTCTTAGAATGATTACTTAATGTTAAGAATTTATTCTGGCAATTTAGACTGAGCAGAGTGCTGACCTTGTAAAC